ATCAGAGGACCTACTTATTTTTTCTTTTTGAATGTTTGACTTATTTTAGTTCAGCTTCAATCTTGTTTGTTCTGATGAATTGGATATTTTTATATCACAATCTTTAACAAATGTAAAATAAAATAGTATTAAAACACAAGGCAACTAAATGTTTGAGATAACTGTTTCTTTAATTTCTCCTGTCATTGAAACATTTCAGTCAGAAGTCCTGAAGCAGTTGTTTTTGTATTTACATTATTACTGCTAGAAAAAGGCATCTAAGGAATTTGGATTGCCTTGAATACCAAAGCTTTAAGGCTTGGTTATAATCATGTTTTTGACAACACACAGACCTGAGCAACCGGTGTAGTTGTTTACTTGATGCTACCTTGAWGGTGTATTCTCCAAAAGGACATGTGACAACATGCATGGGGGCAACAGCACGACTGCGTTACTGTTGGAGCACTCATCCTCACTCTGTGTTCACCACATCAACAATAAACCTAGCTTTAAACAACACATGTAATATGTTCTTCAGGGTGTCACTTCACACCCTGAAGGTTTCATTATGAAACATTTTGCTGGCAGATGAAAGCAGGCAGTTACCTTCTTGCAGCATCTTTTTCTTGACAGTGTGGAAAACTGATGCAAATTGAAATCATGGTTTGCTTTTAATACTTAAATCTCACAAATGTTATCAGCTCTTGAACAAGCAAACAAATAATACAGTAAAATAATAAATAAGAAAATGTGACTTAATTATTCAAACTCTTACCACACATAATTGTGTTTTACACAAATTGGCAAAAATAAGAAGAGAGACAGGAAAAAGGAAAACTCAGCTTGTTGAGCTTTTTTAATAAAACAAAGTTGAAAATGCCAAGAGGCAGATGTCTGCCTTTAGATACAAAAATACCAGCCTTGTCAGATCTGTATCAGTGGAAGAACAAGCTGACCTGGAATCAAAATGTGAACATACATGCATTCCACATCGATTCTACATGTCACTAAATCAGTTTTTTTCTAACTCAATCTAACTCAAAATAGACACACAGTACAGTAGAGACAGTTATATAAAAGTTGACAAGATTTAGCAGGAACAAACCCAGGGTGCAGGCAGGCTCAAAGAATAGAACAAAAGATTTATTAAAGTAACAAAAAACTGCTGGAGAGGCAGCTCAAARTTACAAGACTGCACGAGGATCACAGGCAGGGGGAACAGAACACAATGAACCGACACAAGACTTCTTCTTCTTCTGTTTTTATTGGCGGGTGACGTCTAATGTTAAGATGTATTATCGCCATCTACTATGTTGGAGTGTGGACCAGAGTATCTCCCTTTAATCTAAATTCTCATAAAAGTTGACAAGATTTAGCAGGAACAAACCCAGGGTGCAGGCAGGCTCAAAGAATAGAAC